TCGACGCCCGCATTTCGTGGCATCTGAAACACCGCATGCGTCAATGGTGACGCCACGTGAACAAGCCGACCGTATGAAACATATGCAAATGTGCATCGGGAAGAAAGGGCGGTTTCTCGCTAGGAAATTCAAAGGCAAGTGCACTCTGAAGAGCAGCTTTCCTCGCAGAGCTGACCGACGACCAAGTCGAGCGCGTCTTCCTCGGAGGCGAAGCCAAAACCAAGGGCGAAGGACAACTCTTCAGCGACAAGGGGCGGGCCGCGAGCTGATCGCCAATGGGCGCGACGGGGCGGCGACGACGCGCGACCCGCGCTGATCGGAGCATCCCTTCCGGGCTGAATGCCCCCCGGCCTGCCCTGGAAGCTTAGACGCCCGAGGACGAGGTGCCTTAGTGCGCCCACTCCGTTCCAAACAGGCACCCGAGCACGGTCGCCCGAGGAGTCGGCGCGGGCGCGCGCGCGCTGGCCTGCGCCAGCGGCCTCGCGCGCGGGCTCCAGCAGGGCCCAGGCCTTTCCGAAGTGCTGCGCCACTGCAGCCGCGAGGGCGACGAGGCTTTCCCTTCGCGCCTTTCGCCAGCGCAGCCCCGATTGCGACAGGGCGGCAGCCGCGCGGGAGCGCCCCTCGCCCATGGGCGTCGCCCCAGCTGTCACCGTCGGCGCGACCGACGTGTCTCCGGATCGTCGCGACCAGGAAGTCGAGGGCGCCAGTGCCGCAGATTGTAAAGAAGTCCAAAGCGCGCTCGGAGGCGAGCCAGGAGGCGGCGGATGACGCGGCGGAGGGGATCGCGGCGAGGCCCCATCTCGCCCGGCGAGGCGCCCGACGCCGCCCGCGTCGATTTCCACATGCGCAACGAGCGCCACGTGTCCACGCCCTTTTTCGTGGACGTCGCCAGGCCCGTGATTTCCCGCGGCGGCTGCTTGAGTCTGGAGCAGCACGCTCGGGCGCGAGGCTCGCGCGATGGGCGATCATAACCTTCCGCGGTCGACGGGGGGCTGGCGCCGCCGCCCGCGACGCCGGTGGCAGAGCACCTGGCGGCGCACTGGGCCCGCGCGTTCGCCCGGGAACGCCGCCTTGTTGCCGCTGCCACTGGCGGATCGTGGCCAGGTCGCCCTGGCTCGGCGCCCTCGAGACCCGGCCTTGGTCTTGGACGCGCGGGCTGTTGAGCGCCGCCCTCGGCTGAGCCCGCGCTCGGGCGAGCCGAGGAGAAGGCGGCCCAGGCCAGAGCCGGGTCTCCAGCCGCCTCTGCCTCCCGGGCCTCCGCTGGGGCATGCCGCGCCCGCGCCGGGTTCCCGGGCCGCCGACGAGCGCCAGTTCAGGCCCCCCGCGCCCCCGTCGGCAGCCGCGGCCGGGCGCGGCGCGCTCGGCGGCCCCGGCTCGGCATGCAAGGGCGGCGCGGACAAGGCCGACGTGGCGGGGGCCCCCCGCGGCCGCGCCCGCGAGAACTCCCGGGGAACCGAGGGCAAGAGCGCGCGGGGCGGGCGGCGGGCGGCAGCGCATCAGCAGACGGCCGAGGTCGCCCACGACGAAGCGGGCGAGCCCGCCGAGGCCGCAAGAGGGGGCCCGCCGCGGACGGCGCCGCCGCGGGCTTCGACCGCCCTGCCGCGCTCGCGCAGGGAGACGCGGAAGGGGGAGGGGCGTGGGCTGAGCGGCGAGGCGAGGCGCGTGGCATCCTTCTCCGCGACCCCATCGAGGAGCACCTCTTCCTTCCTCTCGGCATCGCTCGGACGTGTGCCTTTTTCCTTCGGCGAGGGCCACCGAGGAGCATCCTTGACCACTTGGCGAAAAAGCCACGCACGAAACCGAAAAAAAACACAGGGAGTGGACGTCCGAGCGATGGCGAGTCTTCCCCCGCCCCTCTCCGCCAGTTCAGGGTCTCGTCGCGCTCCCGCCCCCGCCATCTTCGGAGGTCGTGCGCCGCGCCACGCCGTGCTGCGTTCGGTGAGTTCCGGCCGGTCCGGCCACGACGCGCGGCCCTCGCGTGCGCGCAGACGCGGCGCACGGCAGTCTGCCTCCCACCTGTTCTGGCGAGCTGCTGTGCGCCGTTCCTCAGAGCAGAGGCTTGCTTCGCGGCGCGCGCGCGCACTCCGCCGCGCCCGGCGCGCGCCCCCCGGGCTGCCGCCGAGCATCCCGCGCGGATCGGAAGTTTGCGAGAGGGGGTGGACAGCTCTGGCATTTGTTGGGTTCCGGTGCTCCGCCAGAGTAGTTCCATCGCCCTTGCGATTTCAAATCGAATCGGATGCCTCGCTGCTATCGGGCCTCGCAACTCTGGAACGCACGCGTCTGATATGGTAAAAGAAACGGATGTTGCAGCCATGTTGTCGTCTTACCGCCAGCAAGACCCCGCAAGTATAGTACCTTCCTCGCCTGCTCGCCCCCCTCTCCTTTTCGCGCCCACCTCGCCTCCGGCCCTACTTGTTTTTCAACTCCTGCGTTCCAGCTCCCATTCCTTCTCGTCTTCCTTCTCCTTCCCTTTTCCCCCTCCTCCTCCTCCTCTTCCTCCTCCTGTTCCTCCTCGTCCTTCCCCTCCTTCTCCTCCTCCTCCTCCTCGTAAGTTTGCGCCCAACGCCCGCGCGCGCAGTGGAGAGGCGCTGCCTCGGCAGCCTCTTCCCGCGGAATCCCTCCTCCCCACCCCTTTTCCTCGTCCATCCTTCCCTCCCTGCCTGTCCCGGTCGTTGGCCGTTGGGTTCAACGGCAGGCACCGCGGCGAACCGTGCTGCCCATCGCTCATGCCGCACGTCCTTCAGCAGCATGCTTGATTTTTGTATCGCAGGGGGGAACGAACACCCCGACCTTCTGGCGTTTACCTGGCAGCCGTGGGCGCTTACTGGAACTGTCCCGCCCAGCTCCTAGCTCGATTCCTTCCTAGCGTGCGCTTGCCGAGACTTTCGCCGGCAGGGATGCTTCTTTCCGCGTGGGCGGTCCTTCTCGCCCCCTCTGCGAGGGCCCAGGGCGCGACGGGACCCTCAGAGCGCAGCAGGGGGCGCGGGAGGCTTTCCTCAGGCGCGCGCCAAGCATCCCATCCCAAAGGGTGACGGGGTCCCGGCAGGCCGCACGGACTGCCTCCCTATGGGGCCACATGCGAGCCCTACCCCTACCCCCCTGCGGCTTCTGAGGGGGAGGGTGGGGTTTCCTTCGCTCGGGAGCTCCCGAGCGGAGGGCACCCCAGCCTCCCCCTCAGAAGTCGCAGAGGGGGGCATGGGGTAGGCTTCGCATGCGGCCCCCTGGGGAGGCAGGGGGCGCGGGAGGCTCTCCGCGAGCACCCGCGCGCGCCAAACCGCCCATCCCAGAGGGTGACGGGGCCTCGGCGGGCCCCACGGGCTGCCTCCCCACCGGCGGGCGCCCACCCCCGCCCGGCCGGCCCTCCTGCGGAGGGGCTCGCTCCGCCGGCGCAGTGCGGCACGTGTCGTGTGTCTTGCGCTCGCTGCGTCGGCCTCTGGCCTGTGGGTATACGGGGGGGGCGGGGCGGAGCGGGGGCTCTGCGATCGCCTTGCCGGCGCGAGTCGGGCTCCGATGAAGAATCGCTATGGATCGAAACGCAGTTCGGCACGTGCTGTCTCGCGCTCGCTGTCGGCCTGGCTCGTGGGTATGCGGGGGGCGGGGCGGAGCGGGGGCTCTGCGATCGCCTTGCTGGCGCGAGTCGGGCTCCGATGAAGAATCGCTATGGATCGAAACGTGTTGTGTCCGTGTCTCGACACGTGGCTGAATTTTGGCAGAGCAGTTTCCCAAGGGATTGAATTTGATGAGAGTCCCCAGTTGCTCCCAGGAAGCAATGCCAGGAGTTGTCTCCTAACGTTAGGGCTGCCATCTCTCGATCGCACTTCCCTTCCGCATCGATCTTCCTTCGACTGCCTTCGGTTGCAGCCCGTGAGAGGGTCAGTTCCGCATCTGTGTTGGTATTTCCTTTTCGGCATCATGCCTGTTCTGGCTTAGTCCCGCTTGCTCTGTCTTAGTCACTGGCCAAACCCAGACTACATTGGCTTCATATGCCCTAGCTCTGTCGTAGTATTCTTCAATGGCTCCCACGAATAATTTCTTGGAAATGCCTACTAAACGTCCCCCCTTCCAGGGTCCATGTCGGTCCGATCGACTAATTCGATGTCGGTGTTGGCCGGCCCGGTCCAATTCGAGTCCAGTGTTCTTAAGGTCCCACGCGGCCCGATGTTTGCATGGCGTTGGTGTGCGTCCAGGCGCAGCCGATCCGAGTCGATTCTGACTCCGTGCCCATGCGGCCCGATCCCACGAAGATTCCGATTCGATCCGGTAGCCCGACTCGATATTGACTGACCCTTCCCTCTCTTATTCCCTCCCTCGGTGGCGAGCCTGGAGGGAGATGAGAAGGGGTGGGCCTCCTCAGAGGGCTCGGAAGTCCTCCCGCCTTTGAGAAGTGTTCTGAGCCTCCCCCGAAGACGGGGCATAGAACATTTCACCAGATAACAGCCCCAATCAGTGGATGGTTTTCGCTGAAGAGAACGGCCCGGAACTGGGGAGCCCAGGAACCCAGAACCCACCTAAGTCGACCCAGAATCAATATCTGGGAACCTGGGAACCCGGAACCGGGAACCCGGGAACCCAGCCCGCTGCCCAAATCGGCGGGAAACTCCCGCCAAATCCTTCAATTTCCGCTAAGACCCCAGTCCAAATGTCTCACCTCCCCCAGTCCAAATCCGGTCCAAATCCGGTCCAAGCTTGTTCCAAATCCGGTCCGCATCGGGCCCAAATTGGGCAGCGCCGGGGGCCACGCAGGCTCCCATGGAACGGACACCAAGATAGAACTGTCTCCTCCTCCTCCTCCTCCCCCTCCTCCTCCTCCTCCCCTCGTCCTCCCCTCCCTCCTCCTCCTCCTCCTCCTCCTCCTCCTCCTCCTCCTCCTCCTCCTCCCCCTCCTCTTCCTCCTCCTCCCCCTCCTCCCCCTCCTCCTCCCCCTCCTCCTCCTCCTCTTCTTTCCCCCACTGCCCGCTCGCCATCGACTCTCCCTCGTCGTTCTCTCCGCCACGGGCCCGAGCGGCCCCCTCGCCGGCCGCGGCGCGTTCCCCTGCGCGCGGCGATACCCGGGGGGCGCTGGCGCCGTGGCTCGGCGGCGTGGGCGGCTCCACGTCAGAGGAGGCCGCAGGGGGAGGCCAGGGGCAACGACAGAGGGGGATAGGCATGAAGGGGGGGGGTGCATCGACCCCTAATCGCCCGTCGGGCGTTGCTAGAAGTGCCCCTGGGCCAAGGTGCCCCCAGGATCCTCGGGGTGGCCCAAACGGCCTCCAAAGCACCCCTCACGAGGCCCAGAGGGCCCCAGGGGCTCCAAAGTGGAGCGAAAAGCTGGGGGGCACCTTGGGCCAGGGGTACTTCTAGCAACACCCTACATTGATCGCCGATAGAGGGCTGATATCCTCACTTCACCCAGGAGCGTGCGCATTTGCTCTCGGGGGCCTGTCGCCGATTTATCGGCGATGCATCGCCGATTCCAGGTCGATGTTTCCCCAACTATGCCAATCCCCCCCCTCTACCGTTGCCCCTCAGGAGGAGGGCTCGGGGGTGTCGAGCGCGCTTGCAGCCAAGCCGCGCAAATAAGTAAGCAGCACCCCGCCATGTGGGCGCTCCCAGGCGCTCCCAGGCGTTCCCAGGCGCTCCCAGGCGCTCCCTGGCTCTGCCCCGGCGCCCCCAGGCGCTCCCATTCTATCCAGGGGCGCTGCCGCGCGATTCCGAGCGCTTGCGAGCGCCTGGGAGCGCTTGGGAGCGCCAGGGAGCGCCTGGGGTCGCGGGGTGGGTCGCTGTGGGGGTCGCGGCCGGGTCGCCGGCGAGGACGACAGCATTAACAGCAATCAGGTTCAGATTGTTCGTTCTTATTTGCTCGCGTGTCGCTCAGCATGTATATCCCAAGCGCTCAAGACTCGGTGTCTTCGTCTTCGATCGTACCCCACTTGGGAGTTTACCTTCCTTGCTTGCCACGTGTACTTGGCGCAGCCCCTAGATCAAGGGAAGGCAGGGAGGAGGGAAGGGACAAAGGGTAGGGACAAGAATGGGACACGAGACATCTTGGCCGGAGGGGGGCTTGGAGCACGCAAAAGCGCGGCTCCTGGATTCGACGTGAGGAAGTCCTGCGGGAGAGTGCGATTCACCAGTAGCTTGAGGAAGCATCCGGCGGGAGCCACTGGTGTTGTAAGCCAGGGGCCAGGGGCTTCATCTGAGCGGCAACTGTTGTTAACACGAGGGCCGATTGAAACAAACAAGGTGGGGAATCAATTAGAATTATGGTTCGCAGTTAGAACTCAGCAGCAACACGCTACAGTGCCGTTTGTAATACATGCTCCGCGCGCGGATCATGTTTTACAAATGCAGGGCGTTCGTATTCAAAAAACTAGGAGTTCATGCCTAACGTTCTTCACAACTTGATCATGCATTAAAGATCCAATATTTTTAAACAAAAAAATCCTATGTCTTAAAACTGCCCTGTAGCAGGACCTGGGCCTCGACATCCCGCTTATACGCCGACCGCCCGCGGACGGCGGCGGGTGCCCCGTCTCGCGCGTCCGCGTCGGGGGACCAGCGTCCGACAGCTCTGCTCACGCAGTGCGTTTCAGGAGGAGAAAAACACACACAGACACACTGAATCGTCGATTCCCCAGTAAGTATGGGAAACTATGGGCAGTGGGGGGGGGGCAGAGACCCAGAAAATATGGAAAAATGTGGGGCATGATTTTATTTGTGTGTGTCTTTATTTGTGTGTCCCAGGGCCCCTTCAGTGTTGTTCCTCTGGAGCTCGAGCAGGATGGGGGACTTCAGGGCTAGGGCCCGCAACTCCAGCAGCCGCTGCAGCGGCAGCACAGGACTAGGAGTGTCTCGTCGGTGACAACAACCGCTACCATGAGAACAGCTACGAGTGGCTCATGTGATCACCGTTCTCGCCATTATCTCGTACTTTACAAATACAGCTGCTCCAGACACAGCAACTGCAATTTCAACTGCAAGTGTGAGCACAGCCTACAGGAGCAGCCACGCTCGCAAACATGAGCAGATTCACATATGCACAGCCACAAACACAATCGCAAATCACAGCAACAAGCACAGACACATCAGTCAAACTGCCGTTGTCCCAAAGTCCACCACAACCACCACAACTACCACTCTCGCACGCTCATTTGTCGATGGCGCTTGCCACTGCCACTGCGATTACGATTGTATGCGAACCTGCATCCGCCGTGCAACTTCATTTCACAAGCGCAATTACACCTACCTATGCTGTTTCAGCTACAGGCCCAACTGTTACCATATCAGAATCCACATGCACAAATACATTCACAGTGCGTGCGTGCGGGTATCTTGGTAACTCCAAGACGCCGCAGCCACACTGGTGCCCGAGTCAACCACTACTGCACACACGCGCGGCTTCCATCGGGCGTCGACCATGGCCATCTGTGGACCCTGATGCGCAAGGTGGGCTCAAGTCGCGGATATCTTGGCGGCGCGCAAAAGGGGGTAGGGGGAGGGGGGAAGGCTTCTTAGAAGCACCCTGCTTCTTAGAAGGCCTCGGCCTTACGTCTGTAGAGAAGGCCCGCGCCTTCTGAGAAGCAGGGGTGCTTCTAAGAAGCCTTCCCCCTCCCCCTACCCCCCTCCCCCTCTACGCGTTGCCGGATATCGACCGGCGTGACGTTCTTGGGCGTCGCGTAATGGGGGGGTCATAAATGGGGGGGTGGCGAGGGTGGTCCGAAAAGGTACCCAAACGGCACCTAAACGAGCCCCGTGGGGCTCTGGAGGGGCCCGAAAGGGGCACGAAAGGGGACCGTTTCTGACCCCCCATTTGTGACCCCCCCATTAAGCCACGCCCGACGTTCTTGGCTCGTTCTCTGTCGTGCGACCTGCGTGACGTGCGTGGCCTGTTCTCTTCCGTGGCCCCCCCGTGGGCAGGGGCAGGCCCGACGCGGGCGGGCCCCCCACGGGCGTGGCGCGCAGCCCTCTGCTGCTGCGGCAACCGCTCGCGTGAGGTGAGGGGCGCGCTTCAAAAGCTTGGCATCGCTCGGACGTGTGCATTTTCCCCTCGGCGAGGAGCATGGAGGAGCATCCTTGATCATTTGGCGAAAAAGCCACGCACGAAGCCGAACAAAAACACGGGGAGTGGACGTCCGAGCGACGGCCAGTCGCGCGCTGCTGGGCCTCCCGAACAAGGCCCGAGCAGGTGGGGCCAGCGGATCGCGTCGCATCCCGATGCATCGAGGGTGCAGCTCGATGTGGAGCCCGACTGTCTCCACGCAGGCGTCGCCGATGTATCGCCGATACATCGCCGACGCATCGCCGATGCATCGCCGATGCATCGGTGATGCGGCGTGAGACCCCATCTTCTCCGGTAGAACCGAATTCCCCCCTCCGCCCACTGGCCTTACCATTGGCATGTCCTGGGCTCAGGATGTTGGGTTCAAGTTTTTTCTGGCCCCGCTTCTCCGGGAACGCTTGTTCAGTGTCGAGGTTTGGGGCGGAGGGGTATCACGCAAAGCGGTTCCCCAACGCTTGTTGCGGAGTGGTATTCTTTCCACGGTCGGAACCCATTTTTGGGAGGCCTTTGGGGCAGCGCCCCTCGAGTGGACTGGGACGGGCTGGCGGGCCCGCGGCGCCCGTCCGAGCCCGCTCGACCGGCACAATGTCACTGGAGGCCTCCCAATGGGGCACCGCTCGTCGCCCCTCGCGCATGCTGGCGGCCGTCGGGGAGGGGGGGGGCTTTGACGGGCATGGCCCGTGGCCTTCCTGCCTTGAGATGCAGGTCCTGGAGATGCAGGTCTCACTGCGCGTGGCCCCTCTCAACAAAAAGGGTGAGTGACCGGAAACAGAATGTGACCGAAGACGTGCCCGGACATGTGCCCGGAAGCGTGGCGTCACCGAGATTGTGACCGAGATTGGAAGTCATCCGTGTGGGTGTCGAACCAAACAGTTCGGTCACACCCGGGCGAGGTCGCAAAGTATTCGGGCGCCGGTTTCGGTCGTATGTTGGCGGATTTTCGGGTTCAAATTGGCCACCGCAGCCCCCTGATAGAGACGAGGCTGCGTGACAGGTCCTTCTACGTCTGTTCGTGGGAGCCTTTGGGCGGCGACATTGAAACCGTCATGCATTTGGACCGCATCTGAACGGCCCTTGGCCCTTCTTCCTCCTCCTCCTCCTCCTCCTCCTCCTCCTCCCATTCCTCTTCCTCCTCCTCGCCCTTCCTTTTCCTCCTCCCCCTCGTTAGTCTCGTCTCCCTTGTGAAGGGGCGATTCTGGTCCAAGTACGGTTTTTCCAACTCTGGTCCAAGTCAGGCCAACATCGGACAGTGCCGGGGGCCACGCAGGCTCCCATGCAACGGACACCAAAAGGTCTTGGGAGGTTGAATTCATCGTCGGCGCCGGCGCTGGTGTGTCCGGTCGAATCCAGTCTAATCCCGTTTCATGCGGTTCAGTCCCGCTTGATCCGGCTTAGTCCTCATTATCATCTCAATTGATCCAGCTTGATGGTCCCCTTCAGCAGAGGTAAGAATATTTCCGTTCTGGCGAAGACCTCATAGAAGTTGCGTCCCAACCTTTTGCCAGCATCATGCAATCCAAGGGTGTCCGTAGTCTGGTGGGTGTTGCTGCGTGGCGGTCGGTGGCGTTTGGTCGGTTCTGTACGGTCGGTCGTCGTGGCGTTGCCGCGTCGCTGCGCCCTGCTGGACTACCTGCAGCCTATCTGCTTCGGCCGGTTTCGGTTTCGCTGTTGCTTCGGTCGGTCCTCGGTTATGAGTTGTCGTTGCGGACCGCCTTCAATATTATCGCCAACACATGCCGAGGAATATGCACCTCTAATCTCCGCCCTCTACTCTACGCTCTATCTCTCGCCTCGCTACTATTGCTCCCCCTTTCTATGCACTTTGCTCCTTGCACTAGGCTCGCAACTCTCTACCCGGCACTGTCCACATCGTCTGTGCTCTCGAGGCCCCGCGCGCCCGTCCTCCAGCCACCAGGAGCCCATAAAGCCGGGCCTTTTCGAGCCGTGGCCCGATGCTCATGCCAGGAGGTGGCTCCAATGGAGCAGCGTACGGGGGAAAGGGGACCGCCTGCGCGGACCCGCGCGAGGAGGTCTCCCTGACAGGGTGGCGCGGAAGCCCCTTTGTTCTCTCCCGCCGTGTGAGCCGCGTTTACAGTCGGGGCCCTGAAGAAGGAACCCTTTTGGTTGGGGAGGGGCTCCGCGTTCCTCACGTGTTTCACAGCTTGCCTCAGGTTTTCCTTATGTCTTCGATAGGAAATCGAAGTTTAACTTATGGAAAAAAGGTGCCTCGTTCCTGATTTAGGGTTGCTTAGGTCAAGGCCCCGACTGTACGTCGACCACCACGGACGCTTGCCACTCGGTGCGGTCGATGTGGGGACGCACCCCACGCGGCGCAGCCCGGCAGCAGAGTTCTCGTCCGCCCTGGGCAGGGCCCGCCGTCGGTGCCGCCGCGGGCGCCGGCCGCGCGAAGCAGCAAAGCCGCCTGCGCGGCAGCGCCTGCGGCTGTCGACCTGCACTATACAGTGCGGTCAGCCCGCCTAGTAATCAGGAGGGGGAAAAACACACAGACACAATTAATCGTCGATTCCCAGAAAATATGGGAAAATATGGGAAGTTGGGGTGGAAGACAAAAACCCAGCAAATATGGGAAAATCTATTGGGAATATGTTTACTTGTGTGTATTTATTTGTGTGTCCTGGGGCCCCTTCAAGTAAGGATGGGCAACCTTCCCAAGGGTACTTTCTTCGTGAATGTAATTGGCTTTAGGGTTTTAACAAATGGTCGCAGCCGCGCAGAGGGCGTGCGTAGTGACGCCCCAAGTGCTCGGTCTCCAGTACTTCTACGTGGCGTCGCCCCCGCAGGCACGCAGAGGGCACGCGTGGCGACGGGGGCGCCGCCACGCAGAGCTTCTAAAGACCAAACATTTTGAAAACCAATTGTTTCCACTACGAAAGTACCCTTGCATCCTTGCCTCCTCGGCCCATCTTCAGCGACTCTTCATGGCCAACCTCTTCCGAAAACCGTGAACATGGCCATCCAAGGCCCTTGCATCCTTACCGTGCACCCTCCTGATGCGGGCCAATTGTAGGTTCCGTACTCACCTCGCGCGGCTAAAGCCACGTCATCTCGCGCAAGGTTATCTTTCCGCCGCCTCGTGCAGTCGAGTGGGCCCGCCGGGGCAGGCGGTCCTTGGCCCGAGGGCTGCCAAGATGGGGCAGACTCGTCCGTGGGTCGTGTCCGTAGCCTGTCACCCATGGTCTGTTTGCGCTGGACTTTCGACCAAGTTGTACCACCTCGTGAGTTCCAGTGAGCGGCTGTAGATGGCTATGGTTCTTCCTATTCCTCCCCCTCCCCATTTTCTTTTTCCTTCTCACTTTCTTATGCCTCCATCCCTCTCCGTCGATCCTCGTCATGGTCCGCTGAAACAACATACTTACTCGATCGTCCGTAGACCGTTGTGCTATTACGTGGCATGTGATTTGTCAGATTCGGATTGGTCCTGCATGGCCCGTGGGCCGTCACCTTCAGATCTTGTTGGTGGCCGCCCGAATTCGAATCCCTCTGGCAACGAGTTGGCAGTACGGTTCAGTCGGGTATGCAGGGTCTCTTGGCAGGTCACCAGGTCCTTGATTGGTGGATATTGTCTCTCAGCCATACCGCTTCACTGTTTGGACGCAGTGTGGGTGCTGCGCCATCACGAGTCAGCGCGCGCAAGGGGCTGACTGGTGCGACGGGAGCGGTATTGCACGAGGCATGGCCCTTCTAAAGCGATCCCCGTTCCTCGGAAGGCCCCTCGGATCGTTTCGCAGCCAAGGCCCAAACGCAGAGAGAGCAACCGAAAACGACAACTTTTTTCCCTGGCCAGCGAGGCAGAGGGGAGCCGCACTAGCGTGGGGCTAATCGGGGGCACCGGCAGGGAAATTCTCCAGCGTGCAGGAGGGCGAGGAGGAGAAGAGGGATCGGCCGCGCGGGGGGAGGAGGAGGGAGCCGCTGACAACATAACGACAACGGCAACGACGACAACGACAACGACAGCAAAAAGCACTCTCTAGCTCGAGCCCTGCTGAGTTGGGTGCCGCCTCCGATCGCCCGCGGCTGTGCTGGTCGGCCGCGCTTACCGGCCGGAGACAGAAAAGCGGGGGTGCCAGACGGGGCTACGTCGAGGATAAAACCGTTCCGGAGCAAACGCTCTCAGAGCGTTCTGTGACGTTCCGAGAAGGCCGCGTCGCCCGAGACATTTTGCAGAGCCGCCGGGTCTCGGAACTTCTGGACGTATCGTCGCCCAAGATTAGTCTCGTGCTGGCTTCGTCTTAGCGTGGTGCTGGCTGTCTGGCCCGGCGGTCCCGCTGGTCGAGCGGGGGGCAGCGAAGGCTGCAGCAGAGGGGCGGGCCCCGAGGGCCCCACGTGGTGCCCCGGAAGGGCCCATTGAGGGCCCTTGCCCTCAGGAGGCCTTCGGGGCCCGAGGAGTGCACCTTTCTTCCCCCCGCATTGATCGCACCCCCCCCCCCCCATCCTATCGGGCAACGCTTGCTGGTCGCCCGCGTTTGCTGGCCAGAGCAAGAGCAACAGAAAAGCGTGCGAGGGGTTGGCTGCCTGGCCGGGCGGTCCGCAGCACGCCTGCAGCACGCCCGCCCTGCCGGAGGAGGAAGAGGAGCAGGAGGAGGAGGAGGAGAAGGGGGAGGAGTAGGAGAAGAATGAGGAGGAGGAGGAGGAGGAGGAGGAGGAGGAGGGAGGAGGAGAGGAGGAAGCAGGAGGAGGAGGAGGGGGAGAGTAGGAGAAGAATGGGAGGAGGAGGAGGAGGAGGAGGAGGAGGACCTCCTCATCCTCCCTTCTCCCCCGCCCTACATGTGGTGGTGGTGGTGGTGGAAAAGTTACCTATCGCCGCGTCTCGAGCGGCCGACATCTCGATACCCCGGCAGCGTCGTCGACGCCGGCGCCCCAGGCTTGCCCCTGGCGCGCCGGGGCGAGCGGATGCCGCTGGAGGTGCCAGCGGCGGCCGGGGAGCAGCTCCTCGTCGTCGGCGCGGCCCAGGCGCTGCTGTCGCTGGCTACTCCGCCTAGCTCCTCCTCCTCGTTCCTCCCTCCTCCTC